GCAGGTCCCGGGCCCCGGGCGCGCGCCCTCCTCCCCCAAGGGGCATGTGCGTCGGGCGGCCGGGCGGCCGGGCGGGGATGCGCGGCCGCCTCCGCAAGCCTCCCGGGCGGCAGTACCCCTGACGCGCGGGGAAATGCCAGCCGGCGGGCTTCCGCGCGCCCGGGGCGAGCCCAAGGGGCGGCCGGCGGCGGAAGAATGCCCCGGCCCCTCGAGGGCCGACGAGCGCGCAGGGAGGCGAGCCGGGGCCGGCGGCCGAGCGATCGGCCACTCGCCGGCGCGCGCCTCTCGGTGCGATGGGCGGCAAGTTAATAGGCCCCGCGCGACGCGCCGTGCGCGCGCCGGGCCGGATGACGAAGATCACTAGGGCCGGGCATTCTCCCCCATGGCCGAGATCCCGGCGCGGGGCGAGCCGGGGCGAAGCGGCCAGCCGGCCCCGGGCGAAGCCCGGCCGATCGCCGTGGCGAAGGCGCCGCAGGGAGATCGCCCCGGGCCGGGCCCGGCACCGGCCGGCAGCCGGCCGCCCGGGGGCCGGAACGTGTGCGTGCGTATATGTCGTGCGCGCGGCCAGGGGCCATCGGCCGGTCGTGTGAGCCGGGGGGCAGACCGGCGCAGGCCGACCCGCGGTTCCCGCACCCGCCGGCCCCTGGTGTGGTGCGAGAACGCCGCCCGGCCGGGGTCCATGGGGCCCGACGACACGGGGTGGGAAGGGGGGGAGGGGGGGGGGGCCGGCCGGCCGGCCGGCCGGCTGGCCGTGCGCGCCACCGGGCAGGCCTCGCGATACCAGCGCGCCGGGCAAATATGGGGCAATATACCCAGCAGGGCCTCTAATAAAAAGAGCACCATTTTCCGGCCGTCCGCCGGTTCCTCCTCCCCCCGGCGGCGCCATTCGACCCATTGCGCACTCGGGCCGGCCCGGAGGGGGAGGCCGGGCCGTCGGCGCGCGGGCGCGCATCTCCGTCCCTCGGGTCGGATCTTGGGCCCGGCCGCGCGCGCGCGCGCGCCCCATCGCCGCCCGGGGCCCGGGTTGTGCCCGAGCCGACGGCGGCGCCGGCCGAGCCGGCGGTCGTGTGGTCGTGCGTGTGTGTGTGCTGTGGAGGAGGCGGACCCGAGGTGGCCCGGGCGCAACTGCCCACACTTCTCCACGGTGCCGCCGGTGCGTGGGCGCGCGCTGTGCGACCGGGCGCATACATGTGCTCGCCTTCGCCCGGTCGGCCTGTCGGCTCGACCGCCCCAGGCCAAGGTCGCCGAGCCCCCTCGCCAAGAGGGCCCGCCGGGCCAAGGGAATGCCCCCGCTCCGCGCGTGTCCCCCTCTCTGCCCCCCGGGGGGGGGGGGGGGAACGCCGCCGCCGCCGCCGCCGCCAGGGGCCGCACATTCTCCCGCGGCACCGGGCCCGGGATTGGGACTGACACCGTGCGCGCGCGCGCGCGCCGGGCCCGGCCCCGAGCTACCCCGGACCCGCGACGCGACACAGCACGGGGGGGAGGGGGCGCCCGCCAGGCGTGGCGGTTGGCCCCTCCTCCCCGGCTGCCCCCGGCGGGCTGCCCCCGGTTGCCCCCGGTTGCCCCGGGGCCCCCTCCAGCCAGGTCCCTGGTCCCCGGGAGGACCGGCCCGCACGCCGGGCCACTAGACGCGCGCTTCGTATGTGCGCGGGCGCTGGGCCGGCCGCAGGACGCCCCTCCCCCCCCTCCCGGCGGCCCTCCGCCGTGGGGCCGCCTGCATGTGTGTGTGTGTGTGTGTGTGTGTGTGTGTGTGTGTGTGTGTGTGTGTATGTGTGTGTGTGTGTGTGTGTGTGTGTGTGCGTGCCCGCACCCGGGTGCGTCTGGGAGAGGGGAGCCCCGGCCCGGGACAGGGGGAACGGCCCGGGCGCTGTCCCGTAACCTCCCCCGCGCCATGCGCCGGGGCGTGGCCCGGGGCCATCGCGTCGCCGCCCGCGGCGTCCCCCCCCCCCCCTATAAGAAGGGGTGCCCAGGCTGACCGGCTTCCAAGCGAGCGGCACCTTCTTTCTCGTGACAGTTCCCC